CGGGAGCAGCATTTTCAGGAAATGATTGAGGAGCGACTCCTTACACATACACAGGTCCATTTCTAAAAATCGACAGGCTGAATCATCGAGGCAGTCACAGCGAAATATTACTACTACGGAGGATCAACGGGAACGCCAACGTCAGAGGGACCGAGCCACTGCGAGGGAAAAAAAGGAAAATCAAGTACGGGCCAACTGAAAGCTGTGTATGCTGTAGAGGAACATGGTTTCCGTCTCAGATAAGTGGCTTGAACAAAATTTCTATTTCTGCTAGGTTTCCCAATTTGAATGTAAACAACGCATTTTATCTTAGTAACACATGTCGTCAGAGTGTTTCGAAGGGTCCGCTACCATCCCTTTGTCTCTCTAATGGGTTTGACTTTCAAGACATCCCTGAGTGTCTTAAAAATTTAACATGCCTTGACGAGAGCCTAATTTCTCCGCGAATTCCTTTTATGCGAATTATCTCCCTAGGCTATGAAAAGCAATGTGGAATTAGAGGTGCAGTAGTAAATGTTCCAATTTCAGTACCTGATACGGTAAGCGCAAAGTTGAACGTCATCATCATCAGTACTCTAGATTTCATAACAACCTGCGGCAGGTCATTGATAAAAAGTGTGAATAACAATGGACCCATCGGTTTGAAGGTTACGTTGGAAGCCCCTAATAACAAATAGGGTAAGTTCGAAAAGATTAGTAGTGGCTGCATTAATGTTGTAAGTAAGGTGTGATGATATTCTCGAACAGTCTTGGGATTGCCGATCACTATAGTTACCGATTTACTACTTTTTTTGGTGGAGAGGAATAACAAAAGATTTCTTCCAAAAAAAAGGGGGAAATTCTGATGATTCTAAAGATAAGGTAAACCATTTAAGAAGGTGGAGATACAGAGCCTCGGCACAATACCTTAGCATGCAGCCTGGTATTCCATCGGTACTTGATGAATATATTAGCTAAAATTTAATCGGGGAAGCGTAAAAATTGGATTTACGCTTAGTGTTAACAAAGTTATAAAACTGTTTTGGGTTCTGGATAAACTGAACCCTACACGTTAAGTAGGTAAAGTTCGACCGAGCGCTTAGATAACTAGAGAGATACAGTGTGGGAAGTTTATATTTATTGTAAAGTTTAGGTTTTACATTTTTTAGGCGCGTTGGCTCTTTGTTGAACCAACGCGGTTTATTAGAGAAAAACGGATAGGTTACCGGAACACTTAACGAAAAGAAAGAGTTCATTGCACTGTAAAATTGTCAACGGCGGTTGACTTGTCAGAACACATGTACAGATTGGACCAACTTAATTCAGATATTAAAGTACTTAGCTTTTGGTAGTCAGCTTTTCGAAAACAGCGAACTCTGTCAGCTTTTCTATTAGGTTTGAATCCTAAGACGGGTAATAGTCTCTATAGTCACTTCGAAAGCTGGATGGTAGGGATCTTCAGGTTTCGTCAATGTAGGAACTCTAGTAAGATTTACACCTACAGGATCAGAGACTATGCCTATATCAATTAAAAGGTTTAAAGAGTTATGCAAATGGTTAACTTGAGATAAAGACAAATCAAGCAAGCCATCAATGGGGTCAGTCTAAAGGACATTTGACACACCATCATTGGATCTTCAGACAATGGAGGGATATACGAAATAAATATAAATTGTGTACTAACCCAGAAAAAATTTTGGCTTCAACCAGGTTTCAGTAAACACAATTACCTCAGATGCAAAAGAGAAGCTACCTTGCGTATAGGCTAGAACATCTTCCGATGCGAGATCAGGTAGTCCGGGCGTTAATGGACCCTGGGTCATTATTTCGATGGAATCAAGCGGAGACAAAGATTCTGACACCGCAGCGGACAAAACGGATATTACTTGCGAAGCTGTTACCATTACCCCCCACCATTGGACTTGGTATTGGATTTAGGAGCTGTGGCGCGGGGGTGTGGCAGGTAATAGGTTGCTGTGAAACACAGCAATAAGGCAATCCATTTTTCCCCATCGCAGATAAGTACACCTTGTGATTTACATTTATTATTATGGAAAATTAAAAAGAAATATAAAGACGTTCGACGGTGAAAAATATGCGATATGGAAATTTCGAGTTAGAGCGCTTTTAAGGGAAAATGATTCGATTAAAGTGATTGATGAAACTGGTGGTGAATTTACTGATGTTGAAAAAAGTGATATGGTAGAATTTGAGAATGCCGATCCAGAAATGTTTGGTGATTATGAAAAAGAAGACTTAGAATCGCAGATAAATATTAGAAAAAGTGACAGAATAAAGAATAAACCAAAAATATTTTATCAAGATTTAATAAATAATTGTGTAATGCATACTCAATCTTTAATCTATTCCATACCAAATAAATTTGTCGAAGTTAAATATAAGACAGATAAAACATATTGGGAGAAAGCTTTTAAGGGGGTAGACCACCCTGAACGCATAAAAATTGGAGAGTTTTTCAAAAATTCATTTTGACCAAGTTATTAGGAATACATCTTTTTATTTATTAGTACATCAAAGTACATATGTTAAACTAAGAAATACTTATTGAAGAAAAAAAATATTTACGAACGGCGGAGATATAGCCAGTCAAAGAACGATTTTTTTTTAGGGAATGGTCGGATGGTGTACATGCTGCACACCACATTTGTTATCCGAAATTCAAAAACAAAAATTTTTTATAAACTATATAAGTATGGCTATAGCATGACGTAGCCGTTTTTGGAAAAATTTTTTTTGAGGAAATGGGAGCACTGTAAAAAAAAAATTTTTTTTACGAAATTTTCGTTTTAAAAATTTATAACTTTAAAAAAAAACTTTCGTATCGAAAAAATCCTAAGTCATGCCATAAAGGGCATTATAGAGAAGCTGTGTAAAAAATTTGAAGAGAATCGGTCTAGCGGTTTTTGAGAAATCATGTACACCGTTTTAAAATACGTAGTTTTGAGAAAAACGCAAAAGAAGATAAAGAAAGTACTCTAAGGTATACCGGCAGCGCTCACTTCTAATGGCTGTAGAATTCACAAGTAATGAGATATTTTTAAGCCCAATGTCTTAAAATGACCGTAAGAATATCGGCATCAAGATTAAGTAAAAGAAATAAATTAGATTTTTTTAAATGTCAGGGTGGTCTACCCCCTTAAAGAAGAATTGGACTCACACTCATTAAATAAGACTTGGTCAATTGTACAAAGGCCTAAAAATAAAAATATAGTTGATTGTACATGGATTTTTACAATCCAACAAAATTAATTCGGCGAACCAATAAAATATAAAGCCAGACTTGTTGCTCGTGGTTTACGCAAGAATACTTAGTTGATTATAAGAAACATTTGCACCTGTAGCAAGAATCTCAAGTTTTAGATTGATTATTTCTATAGCAAATCAATATGACCTTTTAGTACATCATATGGATGTTAAAAAAGCCTTTTTGAATGGAATATTAAAATAAATTTATATGCAAATTCCCGAGGGTCTAAAAAGTAAAGAAAATAAGGTTTGTAGACTACATAAAGCTATTTATAGCCTCAAGCAAGCTGCAAGGTGTTGGTTTGAAATTTTCGGGAAAGCATTGACAGAAATAGGCTTTGTTAATTCACCAGTAGATCGTTGTATATATCTTCTTGACAAAGATAATATATTATATAATATATATATTCTATTATATGTAGATGATTTAGTAATCTCTACCAAAGATAAACAAGTAATGAAAAATTTTAAATTATACCTAATGAACAAATTTAGAATGGTTGATTTAAATGAGATTAAATATTTCTTAGGTATAAAAGTTGATAAAAGTGTTGGTCATATAAGTCTTAGTCAATCTGCTTACATAAAATCAATACTTTGAAAATATAATATGGAAAATTGCAATCCTGTTAAATGTCCTCTGCCAACTAAACTTAATCATATTGCTCTTAGCTCAGATGATAAGTGTGATGTCCCATGTCGAAACGTAATAGGATGTTTAATGTATATTATGTTATGCACAAGACCTGATTTAAGTACAGCCGTTAATTTTTTAAGTCGTTATTGTGAAAAGAATATCATAGAACTTTGGCAATGCCTGAAGAAAGTTTTAAGGTACCTAAAAGGTACAGTTAATTTAAAGTTATCTTTTCAGAAAAACTCAAATTTTAATGAGTTTTTGGTCGACTATGTGGAATGGGGTGGCAGTGATTTAGATAGAAAAAGTACTACTGGGTACATATTTAAAATGTTTGATTCCAATGTAATTTGTTGGAACACAAGGAAGCAAAATTCAGTAGCAGCATCATTAACAGAGGCAGAATATATGGCCTTATTTAAGGCAGTTAGAGAAGCCAAGGGGCTAAATTCATTATTAGTGAGCTTAAAGATAAAAGTAATTAATCCAATTAAATTGTATGAAGATAACTAAGGACGTATAAGTTTGCCAATAACCCTTCATGTCATAAACGTTCAAAGCACATTGATATAAAATATCATTTTACAAGAGAACAGGTTGATAAGAACCTAATTGAAATTGTTTATTGACTAAATCATTACCAGCGCAACGTTTTTGTGATCTGCGAGATCAAATGAATTTAATAAACTGAACAAAGGACTGAAATGGAATGAAATCGATCTCATTAAAAATCGAGTGGCTGTCTCAACTTTAAGTTTTTATTTTATTTTATATTATTTTTAATGATTTGAAATGAAATTGTATAACGTAAATTATAATTTGTACAGACTAATTGGGTTTTTGCGGGTTGTCCCCAATCTTTGCAACAAATATTAGACTGAAATTGTACTACTCCCATTATAGCATATACTGACACTTTTTCTTATGTAAACTATAAAAAATATATACATATATATACTATTTTTGAGGAGGTGTGTGGAAATGTCATATTATTGAAAGCAGAAATAGTATATACATAGATATATATTGAATATCGATAGATTTGGCATTTTTGTTTTATGCAGTCTTACTATTTTTATATTTTTTTTCGTTCTCTAAGAGAACTTCTCTTCCTGATTGGTTCCTTACTGAATAAACACGTGTGTCAGCTATAAAATTAAATATCCGCAACAAAGTATTTTATTTAATTATTACTACTGGACATATATAAAAACGAAAAGTCAGGACAGACCAAGAGGAATACCAACGAGTAATATCTGTGTTCCATTGCCTGGAGGTTCTGCAGATTGATCTATTATCTACAGATTTTCTACAGGAAAGGTCGAAGAGATACATAAGTAAGGGTAAAGATGAGAAAGTTCGATCGTAACGGTTAAGATACAAGATACAGCAAGATCTGCTTTCTTATCGGCATAAAGGTCGCCGAAAGTATTGAAGAAGAACCTAATCCAAAGAGGATAGCAAGTGGTGGATTTAAGATATCCAGGCTGGGAGTGTAAAGAGCATGCTAATGCTGATACTATTTGATGCTCATCAGTAAGCCCAGCCAAGTATAACATATAAATTATGAATAAAAAGTCAGTCATATATCTAGATCCAATAAACGAAGTAGAAATTGTCACTTCTTGGAATTTAGTTGTAATTTATAAAATGGATCCTTATTATTAAATGATAAATAAAGGTACGGCACTAGTAGGTAAAATTAGACCTAGGGGGGGGGGGGGGGGGGGGTGGGTGGGAAGTGGCTCAAAAAAAGTTTGGGAAGTTAATTGGCCGTGGAGTAATGCGAATGACATGGCATGTGGCCAAAGGCCAGGCGAATGTTAAATACTAATTCATATTGGGTTGAGCTACAAAAGTAAAAGCACTCAGCTATTTAAAGTTCAAACAAAAACTAAGGCAAGTTCAATCTGGGAATTCCAAAATGGATGTGATTGATTTGGCAGAGGAATGTATTTTAACGCTTAGGTCTGATTGCACAGGTCGTATACATGACAAGATCCTTGTTGCTCAATATAATTTTAAATCAGACAGACTGGAAACAATATAATCAGCTTATTATGGAGAAATAGTAGACATACTAGATCCACTTTCGAACGAAATGGATTAAATATACATACATTATATATATGGCCATACTTCTTTAATCATATGTTAAATAATTTAAAGGATATATGCCCTACGTAAATGTAGCGTAAAAAGGCAATTACTAGCCATAACATTTGACGGCCAAGCACAAAATGTTTAGATATAATAATTATAATTCTTAAATTTGTATTGTAATTGCACTGTAATGTAAACATTACAAAATAATACTTCCAACACCTTGGCAAAATGTTCACACATAAACACTTATATATAATATATATAAGAATTTTATGTAAAACTATTAAACCACATTTGTCTGCTTATCATTAAATAAACAACGATTGAGCATATCTGAAAATATTCATCCCTTAAGCTAGGTACACACGATGCAAACAATTTACAGCAAGTTGAAAATAATTTGCAGTAACAGTTTGCACAAATGTTTACACCTATATAGATTCATAAGGGCTATTTGTTCATCTGTACTATTCCATGTGGCGGCTTATTGTTTGTATGGTGTAGAAGCATAGCCTCATACATAATAAAGCATGAATCGGATCAAAAATAATCAAAACTGGCTAACTCGTTAGTAATTCTTTCTAATTTCTTCATGCTCTGAACCGTAATTAAAACTATTATCAAATGCTCTCACAGCACAAGGGCATCATCAACTATGAAAATCCAGAAAGAAAAATGACGAAAATAAGACGCCAGACCAATAAATTGACGTAGGGAAGGCACTGGTTTTTGCTGTGGTAAAGCTACAAATAATTCAATACTCTTTAAATTTGGTCGTAACTCTTCTGTTTTTACCTCATATTTAAGATATCTAACTTTATTTCACAACAAGAAAAAAAGCTAACTTCGGCACGCCTAAGTTTGTATACTCTTGCAGATTCGATCACTAGGAATTAATACAATATAAATTATATATATTTATGTTTAAAAACATTGAAGGTAATGCTTGCTTTCATTTCATTCACCTATACATATTATATTTAAATTTTTACTTTCACAGTTTTACATTTTCTTCTATATCTAACGATCGTTCCTATGGCAGCTATACGATATAGTAGACGTTTCGGAGAAGTATGGGAACACACTGTGACAAGTATATATGTATGTATACCCTGCAGTACCACATGTCATCAATAGGCCACTGTCATCAACAGCCATCAACGCGCCGACTTCGACTTCAACCGAGGCGACGCTCTGCCGACTGCGACTTCTACCGAGTCGACGCTCTGCCCACGATACAGTTACGACGGTAGTCTCATCGGCAGTCGTCGACAGTACCATGGGTCGGCCGTTGATGAGTGTTGACGAAACATCGATGAATTGTTGATGAATGTTGATGAATCACTGGTTAATTGTTGATGAATTGTTAATGATGACAGCCTAAGACATGCCCATGTTAAATTCATCAACAATTTGTATGGCCATTATTCGATGAATCATCAACAACACCGCCTTGACTGTTGATAAATCGTTGATCAATCAATGATGAATGGTACTGCAGGGTATAGAAAAAAAAATATATTTCTTTATGCATTAATTCCTAATTAGCTTCCAATATTTTTTACCGTTATCATAAATAAGAGCGCGAAGTGCTGCGTTTCATAGAAAGTTTGGAGTGGGGCCCCGGTAATATTGTAATGGAAAAAAGTTACATTTTATTCTCATTTATAAAAATATAATTAAACATTATATGCTGCTATTTAAAAAAGTTGTGGGTTAAATAAACGGTAAAAACTCATTAATATGGAACGTGAAACCAAGTTAACTAAAAAACACGCCGAAGTTTATATACCCTTGCAAATAGAGCTTCGATAGCTAGAAATTAATACAATAAAAATTATTTATATTTATGCCTGCTTTTATTTCATTCACCTACACATATTATATTTACAGTTTTACATTCACAGTTTTGCATTTTCCTCTTTATCTAACGATTGTTTGTATGGCAGCTATATGATTTAGTCGTCTAATTTTTATAAAATTAAAATCGAAGTTCTATAATAATATAAAATGGCTATACCTTAAATTTGTTGGAAATTGAAAAAATTATAATTTTTGATTGTATTAATTTCCCGATCGTTCCTATGGCAGCTATACTATATAGAATTCCGATTTTCATAAAATTTTACACAAATCGTAAATTGATATAGAATGGCCATTTCTCAAATTTAATGAAATTGAAAAACTGAATACTGAAAAAGTTAAAAATTAAAGTTTTTTTGTAAAAATTTTCCGATCGTTCCTACGGCAGCTATATGATATAGTCGTCCGGCTCGTTCCGACATGTATACGAGTGACATTCAATAGAAGACTAACTCCAAAATTTTATTCAGATAGCTTTAAAATTTAGACCCTAGTTTGCGTAGAAACGGATAGACTAACAGGCGGACATGGCAAGATCAACTTGGCTGTTGATGCTGATCAAGAGTATACATATATACTTTATATGGTCGCAGGAGACTCCTTCACTGCGTTGCAATTTTCTGACTGAATTTATAATACCCTGCAAAGGTATAATAATAGATTTAAATTAAAACTCTTCTTGATTAAAGTGAAGGCTGAAAGCAGGCATCAAATAAAATATTCATTTTGATTTGTTGCATAAAAGGCCCTACTTTCCTTATACGAAAATTATACATTTTGGGGCAATGAATTCCATCATTTTCTGATGAAAATAAACTCAATTTAAACGACTTCCTTGCGACTGACGCATCCATAGGGGTTGTTTCTCTATTGATTTTTCCGACTTTTAGCTGGAAATGGCCATTGCGATTTATAGCAGGTCGTATGCATGCGGAAATATTTACAGATCTCTCAGTAAGTAAACCTATTCCCTTTTCTAAAGAGTTAAGTTCCGAAAATTTGCTAGTTTCATCAGAATAAAGCTCACATACATACCAAGGTATCTATATACCAATTTTGGTAGACAATTTCCAAGAAAGTCCTGTAAAATTAGGGTTGGAACATGAATATTGGTTTCAACAGGACAATGATCCGAAGCACACGGCACATAATACAAAGCTTTACTTTCTATTAAAAGTTAAAAATCTGTCGCGAATACCTCCACAGAGTCCAGATCTTAGCCCAATTGAGCATTTGTGGCATCTCGTGAAGCGGAAGATCCGGAAACATACAATAACGTCGAAAAAAAATGCTTATGGATGTCATTGTGGAGGAAAGGATCAAAATAACAGGCGAGAAGCCAAAAAATCTTGTGGATTCCATGCCGAGACGCCTTACGGAGGTTGAACACAGGAATGGATACCATACTAGATATTAAAATTAGTATATTAAGTTAAAATAGTTTTTCGTTAGCTGTGCGCAGACTTTTGCGTGGTCATTTTTTTACAGTGTTAAGTTTAAAATTAAAAATAAAATATAAAGTATTGTTTCATAATTTAAAACAAATTCGTAATTGAAGACAACTTAATAGTTAGAAAAAAAATTGTCCAAAATGTTAATGATTAACTGAACAGTTTGTGTTTAAAGTTTGAATTTGAAAATTTTTTGCGGTGAACGCAGAGATATGCGGTTGAGTGTAAATGTTGGACGGCATACAAAAACCGGACTGGGACCAAAAAAATCCCGGTAATGCAGTGGCCGAGGTCAAGTCGGATTGGATTTATATAACATCAAAGACGTTAACAAAAAAAAAAAAACTTGTCAAAATTTGGCCCCTAAAAGTATACGCCACCATACGTATTAAACTTTACCTTTATCCTCTGGCAGTTTGACAGACTGTACTCCAAAGCAATTGGTTTAAAAACAAAAAAAAGAACGATTGACTATTTTTGGGACTTGCATTTGTCCCGCATTGACGCTTATATCCCAATTGGTTATAGTCAAGATGTTGTGTAAGGTACCAAGAAAATTGGTCATTGTGAGTAAATGGTCTGATGATTTGGATAACGGCAATGAAACGATTGTAACCACAGACAATCTCATATCTTTCGATATGATTTTTTTTTAAACAGAAATTTCGTATCAACAATTTTTTTTTCAAAGTTATTAAAACGGCAATGTTATTCCGGATAAATTTGTTATATCTGTATAAATTTAAAAAAATTTGGTTTTCGGGTTTCGGGTTTATAAAGGGCTTCCATAATCATTTTCAGACAGACGTAATCTATACTGACTTCAGTAAAGCATTTGAATCTGTTAACCATTCTCTTCCCGTGAGGGAACTCAATTTAATGCGTTTTCCATTGGATCTCAAGATACCTGAATGGCAGGACGCAAAAGGTCCTCTTGTTCGGAGGTCTCCTTGTTAGGAAATTCAATTTAATGGGGTTTTCAGTCAGAGTTTTTATTAATGGCCTGCCAAAAGTCTTGACTAACTCCAGAGTGCAATACCAAGACGTCGCCTGCCAGTCGGATTTACAAACAGATCTTAATAATTTTCAAACATGGTGCTTATTAACTTATTAAACTTAAAAGGCTCTAAATGCAAGCCAATGAAATTCTCTCGTGTCGTTTTAAAGATGGTCTTTTAAAAGAATTAGCTTAATTGAAGATCCTCTTGGATCCAAAACTTGACTTTTTCGATCAGATCAGGGGTGCATCTATAATCAATGTTATAATTATTCTAAGGGCAACTATCTGTAATGGGAGAATTATGAAAATATAAAAAAATCCTACACATCACGCTTCTAACTCTGAATTTAGTGATCTTGTTTATAATTATATACTATTGCTCTGAATTTAATAATTTTGATTGTAATTATAAATTATTTTCTTCTTTTTAGTTCGGTTATTTATAAAAGCGTGTTTTTTTAGTTTTTTTAACTATTATTTATTTAAATCAAATTTTATCAAATTATTGCATTTTCATCGGTCCTTGAGAAGTATTCAAAGTTTTAAGTTTATCAGATATTTGGAAACCTTTGAAAATAGTGCTCAAAGATTCCGTTACATACATATGTACATACATACATCCCGAACTAATAATAGGAAATCATCATTGTTCAATTTGTTTACGATTTTAGAAATTACCGGATCCGTTTATTGTACAAATATCCAATTTTCCGATATTTCGGTCATATCAATTCGCTTCTCTTCTATTGTCTTTGATACTTGAAAATTAAGTTCTGGATTCCGACTAAATGAATTTCTAGATAAGATGTCTACGTGTGTCATATTCTATGTATTTCAACATCAAATGGGTATTTATTCATCATTTTATTTCTATATGATTTTATAGAATTAGAAAGAGAAGCATCAAGAATTTTCTTCTATGAAAATAATGAGGAAAATCTTTTACAGCATTCACTACCACCAACTCTTACAATGCACTATGGTCCAGAAGTTGATTTTTTTGGCATAAATTCGAAATTTTCATGTTTAAATTTTGTATTTTTGATTTAAAATTATTAAAGTTAAAATATCAAACATAAACAAAACTAAGAAAAAATGCTTTACAAGCTTCTCTGAAGTTTTTTTTGAGCTTTCGAAACCACACAATCGAATAGCTATTTGGTAATAAGAAATTAGCGGCAAATTGCTTTGTTTACTTTTTTACGTGAAAATAAAAATTCTTTGTCCGAACAAACTGTTGATAGTAATGAAAATTGTAAATCAAGGTATGTATTTTTTACTGAATATAGTCTGTTAATGTGTAGTCTTAGTGTTTGTGTTTTGTTTAATGTTCAATTTATGTGTATTTTCTATAGAAAATTAACATGCGTCCCTTGTGTTTCGTGGAAAAAAACTAACGACCTGACGGCTGCTGACAAAAACTAATTACGTCAGTTTATACTAAAATATGTCGTTCTTTATCGGTAATTAACAACTTTTCCCCGTTCGTCCCCCTTTTCACGCAATTCCCCAATATTTAGCGACGTTCGAATTTCACCATAGCGATCTCTTCGATATTTGGCTCAGCAATAATCGCAAAATATCATCTGTGTTAGATTGCATTTATAAGAAAATGAGCCATTACCACGTCGAAGATAATAAAAAATTAGAAATCAATAAAAAAAACAAGTAATTTTGAATCAATTATTAAAAAAATGACTACCAAAATGCAACTATATGGTCGAACGTTTTCAGGAAAAATATGGAATGATATGATATGGGTCTACGAGTAAGCGTGCCAAAGCAAAATGGTAGCGGGAACAGCAATGCCGGTAATACAGCAAGAAGAGCTTTTGCAAATATTGAACAAATATCATCCATTACCGGCTTTGACAAAACCCTTTTAAATAATTTTCACGTTATATTAATAGCAGTTTCGTGTAACTTTTATATAAACTCTGACAAATTTCAAACTTTTTGTGAGAAAACGATTTGCCTATATATGCATAAATACCCGTGGTACCCCATGTCACCAACGATTCACAAAATATTAGTCCACGGTTTTCAAATAAATAATTCAACGTTAGTTCCACTAGAATGCTTAGGCGAAAATGCTTCAGAAGCCCGCAATAAAATCTATAAAAAAGACCGACTCTCACACGCAAGGAAAAATAGCCGAATCAATACTATGACTGACATTTTCCACAGGGCGATCGATTCCTCGGATCCGTTACTATCTAGTGTCTGTTTAAGGGAAAGAAAACGAAAAAACACAAAAAAAAGCAATTCCCAAAGAAGTATTAAGCCTTCTGGAACTGCCGTCAACCGAGAACAACATCCCATTTGAAAAGGAATTGCAATCTGATTGTGATGCGGATTACGACTTGAACGAAGGCAGCTCAATAATACTAGAAGAAGAAGAAGAAGAATATAATGTTTAAGACAAAACCCATACATAACATATACCTATGTATATATATAAATGTAAGTATATTGTCTGAATTCAGCTTCATACTAAATTTCTAATTATAATACTACGAATCGGTTTGTATGGGAGGCAATAGAGGGCGTGGTCTCTCAGACTCAAAAGTTTTTTTTACATTATTGTCTTTCTGAAAAATCATAATGTGCAAAGTTTTAGGTCTGTAACTCTATTTTTTGAATTTATGCCAAAAAAATTTACTTCTGGACCATAGTGCAATGTTTACACCTATTTAGATTCATAAGGGCTAGATGTTCATCTGTACTATTCCATATAGCGGCTAATCTATACTGATTTCAGTAAAGCATTTGAATCTGTTAAGCATTCTCTTCCCGTGACGGAATTCGATTTAATGGGTTTTCCATTGGATCTCAAGATACCTGAATGGCAGGACGCGAAAGGTCCTCTTGTTAGGAGGTCTCCTTGTTAGGAAATTCGATTTAATGGGGTTTTCAGTCAGAGTTTTTATTAATGACCTGCCAAAAGTCTTGACTAACTCCAGAGTGTAATACTAAGACGTTGCCTGCCAGTCGGATTTACAAACAGATCTTAATAATTTTCAAACATGATGATTATTAACTTATTAAACGTAAACGGCTCTAAATGCAAGCCAATGACATTCTCTCGTGTCGTTTCAAAGATGGTCTTTGAAACCTCTACTTATAATAGACTTCGTCCAATTATCTTATGCTAAGCATTACCATTAATTTTTATATCATCCGTGGTTACGTGGAAAGTGCTGACTTGTTGGGTCAGCTCTATTTCCACGTACTGAGTATATATACTAGATTCTATATACCCTTAAAGATGCGGTATTGTGTAAAATACTTTGAATTCTATATCCCTTTTAGAGTTTTATGTGCAAATTTCAGTGATTTGCACATAATAATCTCTAACACAAATAGTCTTCATAAAAACCTTAAGGGGGTAGACCACCCTGAACGAATGAAAATTGGAGGGTTTTTCAAAAATTCATTTTGACTAAGTTATTGGAAATACAACTTTTTATTTACTAGTACATCAAAGTACATATGTTAAACTAAAAAATACTTATTGAAAGAATGAGGGCATTATAGAGAAGCTGTGTAAAAAATTTGAAGAGAATCGGTCCGGCGGTTTTTAAGAAACTATGTACACCGTTTCATTTACATTACAATTTATTTATATATCTTCTTAATTAGCACAACAGCCGTGTCGATCTAGGCATGTCCGTCTGTTCGTTCATCTGGCCACTCGTTTGCTTGTCCGTCTTTTTTTCCATCTGTCTGTCTGTCTCTCCGTCCATCCGTGCGTCCGTCTGTCTGTATATATTATTTTTTGATTAATAATCGAATAGCTTCGGCGTGTCAAAGTAAGCTTACTTTCTTGTTTAACATAAATATATATAATAAAGATTACATTAATTCCTAGTAATCGAGTTGCAATCTGCAAAGGTACACAAACTTCGGAATCGTTTTTTTTTTGCGAATTATTTCCTGAAAGTCGTTGCAAAAAAACGAAAAGAAAGTTGAACTTTATATTTTCTAACAAAAAATTGTAAACTTAATGGAGTTGCTGATTCCTTTCGCCACATTTTTTTGCGAAGGTTTTGTTCTAGAGGCGCTACCGTGAGGCGGGGGCAGAAACGGTGGGAGCGGTATATTAAAGTAGGCATAAGTACTATAACATTTATTACTTACCTAAGCTCGTCATTGGACCAAAAACAGTTTCATCGTTAGTAATACTGCAATTCCAGCGACGATTTTTAAATTGAAATTGGCACTCCTAAAAAATTTAAGCAAAAATTTTATTTTATTCATATAACATTTTCATAGTAATAATATGTATAGTATGATAATAGTATGTATAGTAATAGTATGTATAGTAATTATAGTAAGTATAAAGTGGATTCACGTTAATTTTGATACCCGGTACTGTAAAAAATAGAAAGCCATCTATATTTTTATAATCTTTCAGGGTATTATAATTTCAGTCAGAAGTTTGCAACGCATTGAAGGATTCATCTTCGACCAAACAAAGTGTATATATTCTTGTTCAGAATCAACAGCCGAATCGATCTAGCCATGTCTGTGTGTTCTTCTGTCCTGTCCGTCTGTTCGGCTGCCTGTCTGTCCGTTTCTACGCAAACTAGTCTCTTAGTTTTAAAGCTATCTGAACAAAACTTGGCAGTTAGTCTTCTAAATACTCTCACTCGTATATACATATGTCGGAACGGATCATACGAATATATCATATAGCAGCAATAGGAACAATCAAAAAATGTTTACAAACAAAATAAAACCTTTTTTAATTTTTAACAGGTTTGCATCAAATTTAATATATAGCCAGTTTATATTATCCTACAATTTTGTGAAAATTTTATGAAAATCGGACTACTTTATCATATAGCTCCCATAGGAACGATCGAGAAATTAATACTATTAAAAATTATAACTTTTTCATTTTTCAAAATATTTTAATCAAATTTGAGGTTTAGGCCTTTAATATTATTCTAGAACTTTAATTTAATTTTATAAAATTGGACGACTTAGCTGCCATTGAAACGATCGTTAGATATAGAGGAAAATGCAGAACTGTGAATGTAAAACTGTAAATACAATATAATATAATATATTATATGTATAGGCGAATGAAATGAAAGCAGGCATTACATCATTGTTTTTTAACATAAATATATATAATTTACATTGTATTAATTCCTAGTCATCAAAGTTTTATTTTTGGCTTGCCGAAGTTACCTTCTTTTCTTGTTTCTAGTTAACATTCTTATATAAAAAACGGCAAAAGATTTATTCGACAACTGAAGAGACCCCTATAACTCCTATAACAGTTAAGTAATCTAAATTTTTGTCAAACTTCGTGGCTTCAAACTCTACGTTAACGCTGTCAGCGGTCAAGTCGTCCCCAGCACCAGCAAGTCCCTATGATACCCCTACAGAGTCAGCGATTCCCCCCACTGAACAGCAGCAACAGAAAGCAAAGTCAGCTGCATTAAAGAGCACCTCCTCCTAGAAAGCAGCAGCAGCCATCACAGCAACAACAAAGGCCTCAACCACAATAACAGCTAGATCTTCAGCAGCAGACCTCCCCTCAACAAAAGCGATGCAGCAATCAATCAACGATCAACAATGGCTGCGTCAAGAGCAAATGTTCCTGCAATCAGTCGGTCTTGGTTGCTGAGGTTTGTGTCTTGTATTACCTCAAAATACTCCAGAAGCCGCTCAGATTTGCTGGATATTTCCCAGCTAATGTTACTCAACCATGAGTCAAATCGGCCTTAACAGTGGTGTGTGGAACGCCGACGGACTCGCCAGCAAAAACTTGAGCTGGAGTTCTTTGTTTAAAGTCATAATATTGACGTAATGCTAAAAGTTGCACGGCTACGATATCCAGCAGAAACGCAGTAGCTTTGCAATTATATTAAAATTCGGTCTTCAATGTTACCAGTTCTATTGTTTTCAAAGTCGAAATGTACAATGTGTCACTGTCAATGTCAAAACTGACCTTGGCGAAATACCAATGGTCTGCCGACGAATTCAAACAAATTTTTTGACGACCTGGGAACAAAGTTCATGTTCCCAGGAGATTAGGATAGAATGCTCACCACAGCCTCTGAGGTCTCGATACTCAGAAAACTCCTGCCTCGAATGGCGAGCGTTCCCCGCTTCCAAGCAATAGTTTACCGGCTTATTTTTTATTTATTTATTTATACATTTTTTTTAAACAATTTTATTTAAAATCTGTCTATAGACAATGAGCCAATTTTTTAACAATGATATTTACAATAAGAGAAACCCTTCAAAAAAAGCTTACTATTATGTTACATACCATTTACAGTTTCATTAGTACTGGAGATCAAGAACTTGTTTTCTTTTAAGCCTTCTAATTTCTAAGCTGTTATCTGCAAGTTTAATTACTAGATTATTTTCATGGCTGTGTAATTTGTTATATGCTACTGTATATATGCTATACTGTTTTTATACCCTTGCAGGGTATTATAATTTCAGTCAGAAGTTTGCAACGCAGGGAAGGAGGCACCTCCGACCATATAAAGTATATATATTCTTGATCAGAATCAACAGCCGAGTCGATCTAGCCATGTCCGTCTGTCCGTCTGTCCGGCTGTCCTTCTGTCCGTCTGTCCCTTTGTCCGTTTCTACGCAAATTAGTCTCTCAGTTTTGAAGCTATCTGAACGAAACTTTGCAGTTAGCCTTCTATATACTTTCACTCGTATATATGTCGGAACGGGCCAGATCGGACGACTATATCACATAGCTGCCATAGGAATGATCGGATATTTTTTACAAAAAATATTACAACACTTTCAGTTTTCAAATTCAGTTTTCAATTGATCAAATTTGAGATATAGCCATTTTACTATACTCTACAATTTTGTATAAAATTTTATGAAAATCGGACTACTATATCATATAGCTCCCATAGGAACGATCGAGAAATTAATACAATTAAAAATTATAACTTTTTCAGTTTTCAACAGATTTTCATCATATTTGAGGTATAGCCATTTTATATAAGTCTTAAATTTTGTGTCAAATTTCATGAAAATCGGACGACTATATCATATAGGTGTCATATAAACGATCGTTTGATGTAAAAGAAAAATGCAAATCTGTTAATGTAAAGCTGCAAATATAATATGTATAGGTGAATGAAATGAAAGCAAGTATTACTTCATTGTTTTTTAACACAAATATATATAATTTATATGGTATGGATTCCTAGTCATAGAATTTATATCTGCAAGGGTATATAAACATCGGCGTGCCGAAGTTAGCTTCCTTTCTTGTTCTAATTTCATCTTTCACAAATGGGATTATTAATTCTTTATGGATAGTTGCGTTTATCATACAAAAAGGAGCATTAAAACAGCTTCTTAAGAAGGATCTCTGGGTTTGAGCTGCTGGCTGTTCCCCACAGTTATATGCTGTACGTTCGTACCGGTTTGAGAATCGCATGATATAGAAGAAGTAGTAGAAGTTTTCTACTCTTATATTATTGGAAACAGCCACTTTTAAAACCTGGAGTTATGCACTTGGTAAGGTTGATAAGATCCCTACGTAGCAGGTATATGAGATCCCAAGATCCCATAGACCAAAGGGCATGTACAAAAGACCTCCTGCATAGAACCAAGCGCGAATATTTCGACCTATGAAAATCCACTCAGAAGATCCGAAAGATCTCTAAAAAAAAGCAACACATGGTGTAGATTTGACTCTGAAATTCCTGCAGCTTTCGCAGACGAGCTGGAGAATCGCTTCCACCCATTTGACCTCGCAACCCATGAGGATGTTGGGGAAACTCTGGTCTTCTTGAATGCTCCTTCCCCGGATGTACTACCGATACAGCTTGTGAGATTCTCACCATATCTGAAAGCTACACCATAGCAAAGCGCCGGAATTTTATTGTATTGACAGCAGAGTTACAAAGGCTTTGCCAAATAATCCACCATATATCCACCACTTCCCCTCCCAATGGAAGTGTGCTGTTATATCTATGATACCAAAACTAGGAAAACCGGAGAACCTTGTCGAGTCATACAGACCAATAAACTTGCTACACACATTCTCTAAAATATTCTAGATAATATTTCTTAGTAGAATCATGGGAGTAAGAAGTGTTCAGGATTCCATCCCCGATCACCACTTTGGTTTTAGACAAGATCATTGGACCCGAAAGCAGCTACACAGAATTGTTCAGCACATTCTTAATGCATTTAAAAATAAGCTTTCCAGGGTCAATCTGCACGATTCCATTATCACCCCAGGCGCAGTACTTGGATCTGATCCTGGTCAAGCGGCTCATATGGAAGCAGCATACTAAAACGATCGCAGCTACACACCATGCTAAACTCAAGAACATGAACTGGTTGCTAAAGTCTACAAGCAAGCTCATCCTTGAGAACAAATTGCTATTACTTAAGTATATCGTTCTTACTTCGTTGACCTACTGCATACGTAGCTTCTGACACCAACGTCATGAAAGTGCAACGTATCCAAAACCCAGCGCTGCGTATGGTTGCTCCATGCTATGTGAGGAACGACGCCCTTGGAAGCGGCTTACACATTCCCTCTGTCAGGGAAAAAATTAACAGTCAGTAAGTCGGTAATGAACGCCTCGCGGCCCATAAGAACTAGCTAGCAGCATCTTTGGCCAACCTGACAATCAGAAGGCGACTCAAGCGAAGGCATTCCGGCGATCTTTGGACAAAAGGACGACACACTTCTGGTTTCCTTAAATTGTAATCACTTTGTTGTTTAAACTGTTATTTCCTTTTCCTATTATTTCCAAGTCACCTTGTTCTCATTGTAAACAAAGTTTTACAGCCATTCAGTTGATTGATTAAAGTGAATACATTTTATAAGTTAAACCAAAAAAAAAATGTATACGTATATGATGAAATCTTGAGGCTTATAGATTGGTCTCTTTCTAACGAATAAGGAATAAGAAAAATGTGTATACCAATTTATTGTTCATCTTTTAGTTTCAACTTAAATCGCAAATAAAATTTCTTATTTTGTCTTTTTAAAATCTCAATAGGAACCTATATAAGAAATCGTATTAAAATTAACTGCTTATTAAAATTGTAAATGATGTAATACCAATAAAAGTTGTTACACTCATAAAAATTTTAACTTGAAATCGCCATTAAAAACCCACTTCTCGCCCGTAGTTTTAGAAATTCGCCATTAAAGTCAAGGCAAGTCTCCCCAAATTAGAGAAAAATATCCCCTAAAATCAGGAA